TTAACTAACTGTTATGGGCTCTCTGGAATAAATGACATTAACAAGTGAATCAGTGAAAAGAAAACTGCAGTAGAAAGGTGAGTGTGTCTGCTGATAGCAAATACCATTTAAACAATAGGTTTATTTAAAGCTGATTGTTAGGATTGTTGTGCAGAGGATGAATTTTTGAATTACTCAGCACCTGGCTTTGCTATCCTCCTCAGTGATTTAGTGTCTGCAGGAGGAAAGGGAGCAGGGAGTCATAACTCATAAATTAATTTATTTATAATCATGCATCTCACTTGCTGGCCAACTGCAGTGCAACAGTCAAAAGGAGGAACTACCATGCATGGACAAGAAACACTATTATGTAAAAGCTTTTTGCATCCCAACCCCATCCTTTCAAGACAAAAATATTGCTCTGGGGTTTTTGAAGAGCAGAACCACAGTGGTGCTGAATGCAAGGCAGCTTTAACACTGAGCCTATAGGCTGGTGTTCATGGGAGTGGATAGTTAAACCCAGAGGACTTCTCTAATATGACTGTAATTCTCCATGGCTCCAGCACAAATTATGGTGCATGCCTCCAAGATTCCGGCTGTAATTTGTCATAGGCATGTAACACTCCATGTAGAGAAGGCATTTATAAGCTCCCATAAGACCCAGGCCAGTACAACTCAGGGGAGAAGTCTGTAAATGACGTCACAGTGAACCTTTTTCTACTCCAGAGGTTTTTGTATATAAATTTAATCCACACCCTCGGGGTTGACTGCTGATGCAATGTGATGTGCTTCTTTTCTGTTATTGCTCTCATCTTTCATACTGCACCTCTTACTGACACTTGCCACAAGCTGTGTTTTAATGGGGCAATTCCACTGAGATGGGATGAGTGGTTCTCAATTCTGACCAGAGCAGGGTTAAATGGGTATTTAGTGGTAAGAGTGAATTTACCATCCCAGACAACGAGGATAGTATTCACTGCTGCAGCATGAAGTATATAACTCTACATGTAACTGCGCATCTTTATGGAAAGATGCGCTTGTGTCACAAATCCTTCAATTCCTATGTGTGTTTTGGTATCAAATTTTCTGCAGTGGTGATTTTTTTATATATTTTTTGATATGGTGAAGTCAATCAGTTTTTGACGAATTCCATTTACACACCACTGGGCACAATCAGCAGGGTTGGACAGGGTCAAATGTCTTGCCCAAAGACACTTTGGCATATGGGCAGCTCTGACCTTGGCCCTCTGATTGGGAGACAACTGACTCTGCCAGCTGAGCCACAGCTGCCTGTGTTCATGTCCAGAGTTCATCCCTGTTTTAGCAGATCAGAATCCAAAATTATACTCTGTAGTATTTTTTCTAACACCCATGTGATAGAAAGAAGAAGAAGAGAAGAAGAGGAAGAGTCAGTAATCAATTAATCAATCAACCCCTGCAAAGAGCAAGAGAAACACCCTCAGGTATTGATAACCTGGATGTTAAGTGTGACGGCCCTGTTGTAGTTATTCTTCAGCCCAGCTATACCTAACCTGTCCCGTCCCCTCCCTCTTAATGTAGAGATACCCGATTTCATGCTCACATCCTTTACATGGTCTTGTTTTGTTGTTTTCCATTGCCATTTGTTTTGGTTTTCTTTATCGCTTCAGCATAAGTGATTCCTCTTGCTGGCTTCACATTTTTGGTGAGCTAAACTGTGTTCCCCCCCACAATTACAACATTTAAGCTTAGCACCTCCTTCACATTTCCCAACAAATACAGTGATCGCTGTTATATTTGCCATCAGTTAAAATGCATATGATAGTATGTAGTAACTAGTTAATATCCAAATGTGCTTTTAGTGTGTGTAACAAATCTGCTCTGATAGGTAGTAACAGCTTTCGATGGTAACACTATCACACCCACACAGGAAAGGGGAGGCAGGGAACCAGTGGATCAGAGACCTCCTCACACAATATGTAAAGAACTTCCCGCAAATCTCCTGTGTCTTCAGGGCCAACATCAACAGGTGCATCTATGTGCTAAAAGGCTTCGAGGACCACACCTTCCAGGTGATGTGGGAGCTCTTCAGCCAGTACTGCACCTTATAGGACAAGTGGGGCAGTTAACTGTACTGTATATATATTCTTATAAATTACCTAACAGCCTTTATTCCTGAAGACTTTCTTTCGGTTCTGAGATACCGTCTTTAAGAACCAAACAATTTAAACTTTATTTTTGCATTTTTTTGGAGCAACTTGACCAGACAGTTTTAGCATCTCCAACCGCAGAACAAATAAAACCCAACAGATCATAACATTGTGCTTTGAGGCTTTTTCCCCTTTAGGCTCCAAAGTGGCATGAACCTGCCATTTCTATTGGCTAACCCGGTTAACCACTGACCTTTCATTATTGTCTGTACATTTTAAGTGAGTCCCAGGGCTCTGGGAAGAGTGACTGCACCAAACTCCAATATTCTTTATTGGTTCATGTTACTCTGAGGCAAGACTCAAAACAGCAGATGTCTGGAGTGGCCAGACAGTGAAATGCAGTGAAAACTGTGAAAACAAACTTTTTTATGATTGGAAACACAACCAAGGCAGGGCCATTTTGGAGGCTTGGTATCTTATCAAGTTTGGTCACAAGGACTGAATATTTATTGAACTATAAATATGTCCTGGGGGGGCAGGAGTACTACACCCCATTTTAGAATATGCTCCCTCTTTTTGTGGTTCTGGGAGTTCTTACAGGAACTCAAAGGTAGCATGTCACTTTTGGCATTTTGTAAGCTCAACATTTGGATGAAAAGTAGAGAAGAAAAGTTTGATTTGATGAAAGATCATTCCATGTGACAGGATGAACTTTTAACCCCACTTGCAAAAGTACATTACAGGACAGATTCTTTGCATTTCAATGAAGTTCACAGGTCAAAAACCTCCTTCTAGGATCACTTATTAGCCTGGATCTACAGAGAGTAGAAGCTCTTCTTTCAGTACCAAGCTTACTCCCACTGATGCAACACCCAGGTGCACAGAGCCTCTTCTTACTTTGATTCATGCTCTTTGATTAGGCTGTGACAGGTTCTTTATGAAGATCGGTTATGATGGGTGAAATGATTAATTCAGGAGTGCATGGCCCTGAGTCTGAACACCTACTTGAGTAGTGCTAAACACTCTTTAGGTCTTTTAATTCACTTGAAACACTGACACCATGTGTGCCCTGACGATTGTTGAGATTTAATTATTGGTGTAACACAGAGCTCATAACATACCATCATTTTTTTAAATACATCAGCCGGGAAACCTTCTAGATTCTTTTTAAAATGACATCCTGTTAACAGTTGTAGAAATCCTCAATCTTTGTAAGTGATTCAGAGATCCTCCACAGATGAGAAATATCATGTGAGGAAACAAGGCAGTCATAAAATCATTACATTTCCTCTCCATTGTTTAGATTACTGCCTTGGTAAATATAAAACTGCAATGAAAATGATAAAATGCTGTCGGAGGAACTTTGATCTTGTCTTAATAACGCCACAGCAACAGCCTTAATATTCTGGACTTGAAGTGGTTTGTTGCTCTGACTGATCTTGTTTCCTCTTGTCTGGATCTGTGCTTGTGTTGTTCTGGTTCATGTATGTACCTTGCTTTGGATAAAAGCCTTTGCTTCATGACAATTTTTAATTGTAATACTGTATTCTCTATGAGCTTTCGCATTCAAAAGAGAGAGAAATGTTTTTTTTCTTCATTAGCATGATAGTATCAAGTGCTGTCAGAAAAAGACCGTTTCAGTAGAAGCAAGATGCTAGATTAGCATTTCCTTTCATCTGATTGTCAGGTGAGGCAGTGAAGATAGCAGCCGCTGAAAAGCATATTTTAGTTCAACATTTGACCTGGATGACGGTATATTGAAATTACCATATATGTCATACTGGTTTGCACATAAAATAGGTGTAAGGCCAGATAGTATAGAGACCTGTTTTACTTCCTTACCAAGTATGTGGGCTACATACATACTGTCACTCCAAGTGCCCTAATTCTGATGTTTTCCTTCATGTGTCCCACTTAAGATGTTTTTCTGGTTGTTGTGAAAAGCAGCAAGCTGCACTTAATGTAGTTTTGACATTTCCATCTGTATTTATTAAAATGTGGCGCACCTTTAAATACCAGGGTGTAAAACCTCTAGCTGCTAGAAAATGAATACACTATCTAGAATATGTCACCCCTATTAAACCGTCACCTTGACTGCACTGGCAGTTTTGCCTCAGTGGTGGAGTCAGCGATCTCTCTCTTGGATGGTTGATGGTTCAATCCCAGGTCCTGATTTGTCCACAGGTGTTCCAATGTGTCCTTGGGCAAGACTCTCGACCCCACCCACATCTGCTGGCTGCTCCCCATTGGTGGTTAACAGATTAAGTCAAAAGTTATGATTCTACACCATCAATTTATGAACATGATGTGAATGGGTGAACTTATCTTGACTTTGTTAATGTTTACTTACATTTACAAACATGAAAGCAGTCTGCAATGGTGATGTAATGTTGTGCCACAATTGCATATAAATGGGCTAATCTGGAAGTGACTAAAGCAGAGTGCTAAATTTACTTGCTAACATTCCCAAAACTACATGGCTTGTAAGTTGTTATTTGGCATTTGCAATATTTAGCCCTCCATCACTATTTGTAGCTTGATATCAAACAGAAAACTGCTTTTCAGAATTTGACAGATAATACTTCATGAAAATAGCTTGTTTTACTGATATAAAGTCATAAGGAGAACCTAAAAATGTTAAATCTTAATGGGATTGAAGTTTTGGGCAGTGGCATCAAGCAAGTAGACAACCAACTCTGAAAAATTCTCATTAGCTGTGGAACTCATTGAAACCAGTTAACTTTGTGTCTGTCAATCTGGCTTAATGTTATATGTTATGTTTCATTTTTGTGGGTGATATTTTAATTTAAACAGAATTTCAACAAAATATATGTAATAAAATTTCAATAGACAGCCAGTAGAAATCCAGTTATCAAAATACAATAGCCTTACTTCTTTTTAGGGGTATGATTATGATTTATTTCCTTTTGAAAATATACCCATAAATTTGTCATATGAAAACAGTTTTACAACCTGAAACATTTTTATCACAACAGGATCACACAAATTACAACCCACGCCCTGCATTACAAAGAATTGCCCTTAACTGTTATACTTTTTTTTTTCTAAACATTTAAAACATTTCAACAAAAAAACTAAACAATACAAGATTCCACAACATCTTTCTCATTGCCATCTATTAAATACTCAGTGCCCAAGGGAAGAATATGGACACACTAGCTCGAAGTGAAGATTGGGGAAAAATGAGAGAGGGAGAAATTCAACCCATAAATCTGTTAAGCTCAACTTTGTCTCATCCCAAAGTCGGCGCTGGCCAGTAAATCTTTGCCAATTTCTCTGGCCACAGGCCCTTTTATCATATCAAGGGATTTGTCTAGCAGGAAAATCTACCCATGATTTATTGTGTTATAAACTGGGTTCAACATGCCATTTCTATAGCTAACAGCTTTTCCAGAGTAATAACACAGATGACAACTGCTGTTTCAGAAAAGTGAGCTCTTTGGTAAAGAGAAAGCTCATATAACCCACATTGTAACTTCTCCAGTATTTTGTCATTTCTTCAAGTTAAAAAAATTCCCATCTGATGCTGGGATAAGTCCAATGAGATGAAGACCTATTTCAAAATGTATGCAGCATTTTTCTCGAATACAATAACTGTGATTTTGCATACAAACATAGATAATTCTCTGTTTTCACAACAGGGACCGCACTGTTGTTACATCCACAGAACAAAGGCCTGAAAATGCTTTGGACCCTTTCAGCCTTTTTAATTGTTCCGTCAAACAAGAAAGGCAATGCGTGCACATGCACAAAGAAACGCACAAATGCAACATGCGCACGCTGATGCACTCACGCATACACACTCAAGTGAACACAGCATACACCTTTCATACTGCAGCTAATATGGGTACTAGACAATTCAGTCCTGACATGTTGCAGTGATGATAGTTCAACTGCCACGTAGAGATGTCCCTGGTCACTCCCAGTGGCGCCATCCTTCACCTTGATGTTACGGTGAGTCGACAACATCATTACTCATCACATCACCACTGAAACACATGTCTAGTGTAGCACTATATCACTCCCATATTGATATGTTGGTTATAGTATTATAGTCTATGTACTGTATGAGAACATTATTTCATATAAACACGTCCACGGTTTCATATATCACTTTTATATTCACATGCCCACTTTATCACTAGATCACTGTCATATTGACACCCACTATATTTATACATAACTTTCGCTTGTCACAAATCCACTGGGTCATAGAAAAAAAACAGAACAAATCATTTTTTTTAGCTGATATGTAGACATTTTCTTGTTGACTTGCTCTCTTATGTTACAATCTTAAACATTTCAAATCATTTTCATGTTGACCCGTCGTGGACCGCTTGACTCAGACACCTCCGCTGCTGCCCCATTAGATTTGCGAGGGACATACTCAATATCAAAGTTGCTCTTATGGCGTCCTTTGCCCCGGCTCCAGGCAAACAAAAGCAGGAAACAAAAGACGACCACACCTAGGAAAGACAGACAGCCCATGGCTGTAGATATAATGATAGTTTTAATGTCTATAGGGACTGTCATGTTGTACAGAACTGTTCCATTCCCCCATGTGCTGTTGGAGTCTGTCATATAGTTTGAGCTCCTGTTGCTGTTGTAAGATCTGTCCCCAATGCCCAAACTCTTTACAGCCAAAGAGGCTGACAGGCTTGCATTGCCTGCAGGGTTACTGGCAATACACAAATACACCCCGCTGTCGTGCAGTTCTGCTGTCTTAATTTCTAGGGTACCATCTGACTGAACTTCTACCCTACCACTACTTTTGGCTGTGATGTAGCGTCTGTGAGGTGTAATCCAGACCACTGAGGGCCGAGGTGCTCCCTCTGCCAAGCAGCTTAGACGGGCAGGTTGACCCTCATCAGTCATCAGCAGCTGAGTCGTGTTGGGTCCAATCCGTGGTTTGGTGCAGGTCATATAGCGGGAGACCAGAGGCTCTTTGAGGTCTCGAAGAGCTTTCCCTTGAAGGTGCTCAGGAGCACTGCACTCAGGCTGGACATCCAAAATCTGCAGAGAAGGGGGCTTGTGGCTGTTAAGTAGCCAAAGCAATCTGCAGTCACACACTAATGGGTTTCCACCCAGACATAGTCTCTGGAGGCTGTCTGGTGAGACAAACACTTCCCTTTCCAGGGAGTCTAAGTGGTTCTGTGACACATCCAGTAGGTGCAAAGATTTGAGGCCCACGAATGCAAAAGGCTCAATAGAAATCAGATGGGCCCCTTGTAGCCGAAGCTCCACTAGGTGTGGGAGTTGGCCCAGCTCTCCTTGGTGTATATGCTGGATGCGGCAGTAGGACAAGTTGAGATGTGTGAGGTAGTGCAGGTTGTGCAGTGCTGCGCCGGGGAAGGCAGACAGGTTAGTGTTGGTTATGAACAATGTTGTAAGGTTGAGACCATGCAAAGAGAGCGGGGGCAGTGTGTCCAGCCATGGCCAGTAATCAATCTCTAGTCTGCGAAGTCGTGATAACCTCTTAAAAGAGAAAGGCTTCAGAAAACTTATACTTAGGTAGCGCAAATGTAGTTCAACCAGGCTGTGGAGATGTCCCAGGGCGTCAGTAGGAACTACAGTGAGATTGGAACGTTCCAGGGTCAGACTCTGTAGTCCAAGTAATCCCGTAAAGGCCCGCTGAGAAATGAAGACTAACTCATTGTCGCCAACCTCTAGGGATGTCAGCCTGCGCAGATCTTGGAAAGCGTGATCCAGTAGAACCACCAGTCGGTTGTGGCTGAGATCAAGGTGGGAGAGATTGGTCAGGCCTGACAGCACACCAGCAGGAACAAGCTGAAGCAAGTTACTGCGAAAGTTGAGTGAACGTAGAGCGAGCTGAGATCGAAAAGAGCCTGGCTCTACCACACTGATTAGGTTATCACTTAGGTCCAGGTCCTCCAGCTGAAGGAATGAGGAGAAGTTGTCTGGTGTGATGATGCGAAGCTTGTTCTTACTAAGGTCCAGGACGCGTGTTTCGATGGGGATTCCTTCAGGGATGGCGGGCAGACGCTTGCGGTAGCAACTAACTGACTTGCTTTGGGCTGAACACTCACATCGAGCGGGGCAGCTTTGAGCCAGGCTGGCTAGAAGAAGCACTAGGGCCCCGCCCAGGAGGAGATGGTAGTGGGGCAGGGCTGGGTGCCGCATGTCTCTCTTACCCATGATGCCCCCTGTCACGGCCCATTTTACTGTCCACATGGAGCACCATCACGAACAAGCCCTGGAAAACACAATGTAAGAACAAGAAATATGTAAGTACACACCATAATCAGCCAAAGTCACACTTTCCTTTTAGCCTTTCACACTCTGCCTCGTCTTTTCCATCCTGATAAATCATCCTTTTTTCACGCAAGGGTGAAAATGTTATCAAACTCACAGCAGGGTAAGACACGGCCAGAGAAAGCTGTAGAAAAGTGTAAATGTTCTCCACTTTGGTGGTAAAAAAAAAGGTCGCAAGCTAACTCCATAACAAAAAAAAAAAAAAGTGGCAATGGAAGATTTTCTGTCCAATGACAAGGAATACCCCTCTGGGAAGACTGAGACTGAAAGCCCATGTGAGAATTGAGTGTGACTAAGTACTTTGCGTCAGCGATGATGGTGTCAAAATGTCTGCATCTGCCGGTGGGGTGATGACTGAACTATGTGTAATGTGTGTTCAGTCTAAATACAAACCAAAGAGAAAATGGTAGTTTTCCACAGTGCAGTACACTACCTTCAGTTGAATGAAAGCAAAAATATACGACTGCTGAACAAATAATCAACGTAATGAATTATGTCACTGACTCACACTTGTTTCATTTACAACTTACGCATCATGATTTAAGAGTCATATTTGAACACTTGACTTTTTTAGTACTCAGAATGTGGAAAAAAACATGGATGCATATATTTACACCATCATCTCTTTGCTTCATTGCTTCATGGCTCTGCTTGTTTCTGTATACGGTTTGTCACAACCAACTACTTCTAATTTTGCTGCACTAATGATCCAGCTTTTCCAGCACAAACTGTTTTTTGTCTGCTTGGACTCTTTAATCTTTTTTCTTCATTTTTTTTGCTTATTCCTTTAGCTTTGACTTTTATTTTTTTTTTTGTATTTTTATTTTACTCACAAAGATATGGCTTCACTTCTTAGCCAGGGTACATTATAGTTTTTCAAAAAGAAGTGACAACACCAAAGCTAAGGGAGAAGGATGCAGAACTTACTTGTTGCACAGATTGCTACAGCTTTTCCTACACTGATTGTAAAGACACCCTTGGACAGAAAACCACCCTCTAGTAGCCACAGGTTGTTGAAATGACAGATGGTTCAGCAGACACTGTACTGGAATTGCTCTACTATTACTGTATCTGCATGCTTTTCATTCTGCGCATTCCTTGCAAATAAAGTGTACAGGTCATAAAACACATATCTATGAGCACTAAAAAATGAATGCATCATTAAGCCAAAGAGAATGACAGAAATATGAAAGGTGCCTCTTACAGATTGCTTGCACAGCTCTTGTCAATCACTGCACAGCAAAGTTCTGCCAAAGTAAGCAGATGATGAGCACACTGGCAGACACATACCTTACTTTGATAGTGAAGTGAGTGACATTCAGAAAATAGCTGAGATGAGGCAGACAGAGTTGAAGAGCACACACTACACTCTTTCTTCACACAGCACTCACCCCTCCATCAGGCTCAGCAGCTGCACTGCTCCTATCTCCAGATCTGAGCTCTTTCTCTATTCTGTCTTTCATTAGTATATCTCTCTATCCATCCATCCATCCATCTTCTCATTCACACATTTTTCACCGAACTCTTGCTCTTTCTTCCCAGTCCTGGCTTGCCTGGTAGAATCCCTGTCTGTTCATCGGTCTCTGCAGACTGGGTTTTTATCGATCGCAGCGCAGAAACATCAGATGCCAGGAATGTAGCCTTTAACAAAGAGCAGGCCGTTGCCACAGCAACTACAAACCCTGACTCCCATTTGCTCTTTGTAGTCTGCCAATCAAATTAATAGAAAAACAACAACAACAACACATAAAGTAAGGGGGCATTTTCTACATATTCATCTAGTTATCTTAACATGCCGGAACTAAAATTCATTGTGTTTCTGGATATTCAGATGATATAATTTATATGTATAGCGAGCCTGGTTGAAGGTGTTTCCAATCTGTCATTCTGGATGCCTCACTATTTGTCGACCTGTCTTGTTGCCCATCCATCTGGTGCTCTGGTAACTATCTCTGTCTATCTATCTTATTATCCATCCACGAGCACCCTCCTGTCTTTGTGTATATATCAGTCTGCCTGTGCTTGTCAGCCTCTGTTACTCTCTCTCTCGCTCTCTTTCTCTCTCTGTTTAATAATTACAGTCCAGTTGTCTGTTGCTGCAGCAGGGAACTGGTTCACTGATCTGTTGGTGAGTTAAATGTCAGGCAGCTACAGTCTGACCATGACTCTGATCAGAGAGATGGTATGTACACGTAAACAAGAGAGCCTTTTCAGTTATTTAAGAGGAAAGAGGAAAAGAACATGGGGGCATCTCTGAAGGCCGTTAAATATTGCAGACATATTTGATTTAAAGGAGAACTGGTCACGTTATACCTGTGATCACAGAAATCATTGACAATAAATACATAAAAATTTGGCGCATTGAAGATGATGACTTCAGACTGTAAGTCATGTTTTTAAAGTGAGATACCATGTCAGTTCTTTCACAACTTATAACAGTAAAAGGGATTTTGCTCTAATTCTGTAAAGACCACCTGTCTGTTTGATGTCCAGCTCCATTTTAGCATGAAGAGCCCTCTGTCCAGAAGCTGTTTTTGTTTTAAAAGGTTGCCCCACAGTCCTCAAAGCCCCTGCCTAGTCCCAGCTTCATGGACAACAGACCTGTGGCATTGACATCTCATAAAGACCCTGGAGAGACTCATCCTAGAACAGCTGAGGCCAAAAGTCAGACACCTCTTGGATCCACTCCAGTTTTCCTACCAGTCTCGCCTTGGAGTAGAGGATGCCACCACCTTCCTGCTCAACCACGTCTACACTCACCGAGACAAATTTTACAATCCTCCATGAGTGTCACACACTCCTACTGTCCCTGTACTCATTTTCATGTAGTAACTGTTAACTTTTGCACTTCATATAATAGGGGTGGAAGAAGAAATGGATACAACATAGTATCGTGATATTTTGCCTAGTGATATATCGTATCGTCTAATTTACCTAGTATCAGTTTGTCAAATTAATTGCTAATATGAAGTCAAATCTATGATACTGGAATAATAAAACCAACTGTTTGTCCAGTAAGGTTGGCAGAGGTGACATTGTAGAGCAGGAAAAAGTTAGTACAACAAATATATATATAAAAATAAGGTTTGCAAGATGTGCTACATGAAAATAAAACACAGTGTAAATAAGACAAACATAAAGGAAAGCCTATTGCTAAATTAACTAAACAGATGAAAAAATTACATAAATTGCAATATATTGTATCACAATACTCACTGTATTGAAAACGTTAAAAATCGCAATAATGTCGTATCGAGGCCCAAGTATAGTGATCGTATTGTATCGTGGGGCCACTGGTGATTCCCACCCCTATCATATAAATATATTCAGCTGTGCAATCTGATCATAAACTTGTAAAAACTTCAATGATCTAAGAGTGCAATATTACAATATTATTAACATACACTGTGCAATATTCTGTTAAACTGTGCAATACTTTGTTGTAAACCGTATAAGACTCTGTGCAATATCCAAAGCCGCAAACTGCTACAAAGCTCATTTTTCAAACACTCTGTACTTTGTAAATAGCTTATTTCTAATATTCTGCACTTTAAACTAACTGCTGCAATTTCTTATTTATTCTCACTGATCCCTAATTTTTTTCTCCTTCCACTGAATATTTATATTTTCAAGAGCAAGTGTAATACTGTAATGACAGGATTTTCCTCTGTGAATAAATGAAGTATTCTGATCTGCCTTTCAGACGTGCCTCACTCTCTGCACTATCAATAAATGAAATAGCTGACAGTATGTCATAATATACGGTCATAAGTGAGCCTCCAAGCATTAATGGCACCATGTGGTTTTAGGAAGCATAAAGCCAGTGAAACAAATATCCAAGAGTAGCAGCTACTGAAATATCAGTAATCCATTCATTGTGGGATCCACGTTTTTTACCAAAAGCCTTCAGAGAAATAATGGTTTAAAACAAATGTGTGTCTGAGTTTTTTTTTTTCTGTGCTGTGTGGCACCTGCTCCATATAAACAAATGATTTAGAGGTTTGTTAAAATAAGGCCTTTGATATTGCAGCAAAATGGGAGCGAAGCTTTTATGCTTTATTGCTATGATTGAAAGAATATGTCAGATGAGGAAAACTCTCTTCAAACATGTTGAAAAGTAAGGACAGGATCTTCGGAAATGTGGTCTAAAATTTAAGTTTCTTATCCAGAAGCACGTTTTGAGTTAATGAAAACAATATCTTTCACACTGCACCACAATCAAAGCTTTTTTTAAAATTATTTCCCAGAGAACTCATGGGAATTCAAATCATTTATTGACAATTACTAAGTTATCAATACCAACACTGGCCCGTGACTCTTGACCTGGGTTGGCCTGTTTGTGTACACTATATCTGTGGTCACCTGACCCAGGGTGACCTAAGAGGCACGGGGGACACTGTACTGCAGGGGGAAGTGAGTGACATACTTTAAACCTGTTCATATTTTCATAAAGGCTTGGAGCATCATTGGCTGGTTTAAAAACCTGTGAGATCTCAGAATCCCGAGCAAATGATGATGGTAATTGGGGCCATTGAGAGGGAATGTAGAATTGACCGTTTTGGGATTTGCTCCTGAATTAGATTAGAGTCAGTAAAAGTGTTGAAAATTTGACAGCCGAAAGGAGAGCCATGGGGTGATGCATGAGTCACCATGAGAGGGAGAGAGGGAAAAGCAGATGAAGGGAAAATGAGGCATAGAGTTAGTGATAAAGCATAAATACAGAAAGAATGATGAAAGCCACACTCCGGTGCTTTTAAAAAATCCTTGTTTGCATGAGTTGACTGTGATTTCTTTTACGGTTTTAACTGAGTGAACCTTGACAAATTGATTACAACTCTTCAAAGAGACCTCTGTAATACTGAAGCAATGCTCTCAACACACATTACTTTGGATCTGTGGTCTTATCTGTCAAGATGAAAACCATTAAATACCTGATTATTACAACTTTCGATAATCAGGTATTGAACCACTTTCAAAATCAACAGCATTTTACAGGAGCAAAGCAAATGAATTTTAGACAGAATAGTTTGGTTGGACTGCACCTATGAATTTATGGAAGCAATGAAATTACAAATGAATCTTTAATGAATATTGGCAGAATGTGTGCATGGGACATTTCCTTTTGCCTTGAGGTGCTCATTAACCAAATGCTTTATGTTGTGTCCTTGTGTTGAATTCCTTCTGCAGTGACATACCTCAAAGTTAATGTTATAAGTACATTATGTTCGGTTTAAGTGCATGGCCAGCTTTTGTGGTAATTGTGCAAAAAATTGTCTACTATAAATCCTATACCCACAGCTTTGTGAACACAATGCTTTGAATTCATTAACATGGTTGTAATTATTCACCCAGCGCCTTGGAGAGATGCCATTATCATTTTCTCCACATATATCTTATTCATTTCACTCCCACATTAAACTTTTAGCGTTTTTATTGGTTTAAAAAGAAGTGTTGTATTTCTTTCAAGCTTTCATTCGTCACTTTGCATCAGTCCAGTAGTATCAACAGTGTACAGTACTCATGAAACATTAAAGCACAAGCCCATGTCTCACTGCTTTACTCTTTTTTTTCCCCCCTGGATGTAAGAGTGGAATGCATAATGGAATTATTTCAAATGAAAGAGTACATGTAGATAATCATTGCTGCACTATAAACATATATAGCATACACATGATAATCAACCCGGAAGCACACACCTTTAAACACTCCTCTTCATCCTTTTTCCATCATATTGCTGCACAAACAAACATGCTGACAAATTGTGTTCATGACCCTTTTAACAGTGCACTATTTGACATACGGGGGCATTATTGCCGTCCTCTAATTATTCAAAGCATGAGGGTCATTCACCGATATTGTCTTAAGATACACAAAAAAATCACTGATTTCTCTTTTAATGTCCATACCATTTGACACAAGATACAAAGAAAAGAGACAGAGGAACTGAAATATTAAAATGTGGACTGTGCAACAATACACGCAACCCTCCCCATTACTTTATATTACCAGTCAAGCTCAGTTTTATGGTAATTCTGTGTGTATTGAACACAAATGCTAACAAGAAAAATGCATTTGCTATTCTGGGAACTCCGCACACCCACTGACCACCCTACAGCTCGCAAAATGTCAGCAGAGTTTTCAGCATGCTGTTGGGATTCGGAAGTTGAACCATGTTCTTTGTGGCTAATTAGTGCTTGTGCATTCAGACTCTCCCAATTAAACAGGTTCTTTCTGCACCACTGGCCGTGTTTCCTCTGAAGCGATGCCCTGTTGAGCTATCACTGGCGTTTCCCCATCTTCCACTATGTCGTTTGTTGTATGTCTGCTGTACTGCCAGATCAAGGGGGATAATACATCACCCCGCAGTGTCTGGTCTGGATTTAAAAAAAAAAAAACACAAAATACTTAGAATTTATTTGTACTGACAGACAGTAGAAGGGATGGAATAATGCTTCTAAACCACAGCTCCCATAGTGAAGACACAAAACACAAACCATTGGTAACAAAGCCTCCATGCTGTGGACATGGTGTCCATTTTCTGTGGTTGTCATGCTTGAAATGCCTTTTAACACCCTTTTAGCTTTCACCCTCCAGATGATGTTGACAATCGCTCTAGGGCCTCATAATATCTCTAGCCCTGTACAAGTTTGTATTATTACCCTTTCATTCACAAAAATGCTGCAAGGTTAACCGTGTTCACAAAAAAATCTGTTTTTAGCTAAATCGACTTCAAAGTTATCTCACATAAAAACACTTTTTTTTTTTAATTGAATTTTACGGTGCACTATCTATATACTGTAGTTCACACTGATCACCACAGAAAGTGCAAGAAAGTGCATGATGTCTTCACAAAGCCCTTACATATAATGGACACATGTGACTGGACGACAAAACACATTCCACTTAGAAAAAGTAAAAATTCTGTGTTATTGTGTGTGAAAAATGGACAAACTTGAATAAAAAACCATGGGAGGTTACATCTACTACAAAGATTTTTTTATCACATTGCTTATTTTCACAAAATAAACAATGGAGAAAACCCACTTAAAGCTATGGTCAGTGGTACACAGTGGTAGCCATTTCAATTGGACCAGCGATCAAAACCATATATTAGCAGGGCGAAGCGGGCAGAGACGATTGTGGGCGAGGCTTTACCTTTCTCGGCGTGTCTTCACCAGCTCAGTTTACAATGCTAAAGATGCGTGGCTAACTTATGCTAAAAATCTATTGACAGAGCCTACCCGTTCCGACCAACAACGTTCAGTCATTAGCCAGTATAGGCACAGACTAACCAGAGTTATTCAGCAGACATCTCCCACTGTAGTAAACAAAGTAATTACCTGTTCAACAGAAATTCGGCTGTCTCAGCATCAGTTTTCAGTCCCAAACCCTTCAGCAGCTTTTCCTACCGGTGTTGTGTCATAGAATGCAACCTTGCCGTAGAATGCCTCCCCTGACGTGCGCGTGGTTGAAAGTACATAACAAGGTGAAATAATCCAAGTTTTCCTTACCGCTGGATGGATTCAAAAGCATGTGCCTTTAATGATTTCTATTGAGATAAGCCGAAAAAATAGCTCTCTGATTCGGAATATTTGCTGTCCTGAAAATATAATGTTCTCTAACTTGACAGTTTACTGTACAGTTTATATACCCAAGTACACCTCTATATGTGCGTTTTTGAGCCACATAAAAACAGAACGAAAGTTTGCTGCTCCATTTGACATGCTGTCATAATCCAATATTCGTGTTTTTTTTTAAAATATGAGATCCTTTTCCTCCACTTTAAGAAGCTAATGAGTGGATGGGATGAAGGGGTGCATTCTACGGCACAACACTGGTCGTATGTTTCTCCAGTGTAGACTCCCCTTTGGCACCTGTATCACTCATATTTCTTCCTTACTTCAGCCTTTTCCTCGAAACTTTCATGTTTCCTTCCCTTCGATGTGGAGGGTAACAGAAGCGGCCTCCTGGTTTCGTTGTTTGTCTTCTCCAGCTCCATTACGCTTCAGCGGCTGTGCAGCTCGCTAATCACATGTACGTGAGGGGGGTAGTGGGGAGGAGGCGGGACCATGGACGGGACGGTGCGAAGCAGGGGAGACAGGGGATTGGATGGACTCCAACTGCTGCCGGTTCGGAGTTGTCGATTATTATGCCTTTTTGCAGTGGACATACTGAATGGATTTTTTTCGTTCTTTATGATCTTTATATGCGTAGATCGGACCATAGGACCATAACGGCCTTATAAACAATGTTATTAATATAAGTACCAAGCTTCCAAATGGTAGACCATAGCTTTAAGTCCTTTCTCATTATTTAAGAAAAAACTTGCAGCTAATCTATTGACAGCTTGCCATACAAATCCTGACTGTTATCAACTAAAAATACTAAAATCTGTGGTAAATGAAAGTGGACCATCAATATAAATTTAGTGTGGTTAATACAGCCCTAAGGCTACTTGATATTCTACCTTAACCCTGTTGCCACAGAAGGACAGTCACACAGTAATCATATTTTATCAAAAGGGTTGCTTAAAAAAAGACCATTGCTATATTGCAATGACTGCTCTGGTTTTCTGCAAAATACATGATCAGATTTTGCATGGTGTCTTGCTTTGCATTTTTCCTGCCTATCCTTGCAAGTGCATTGTGGAATAGCAGGTTTTTTTAGCTTACCCTGTCTCCTTTTGTTGCATATAAATCAGAGAGTTACTTGAAGGACACTCACCATATAAGGTTTCTGTCTAATTTTAGTCTCGGGAGGTAGAACTCATCCATTTTTCATGGTATATGCGTACACACACTGACTCATAGGCCCCTTCCTCATTCACCGAAATACAATTTGTCAGCCTATTACACTATTTTTTTCTCCATCCATTTCTCTAATGCTATCTTCTGCAAAAACAAGTTTTGTGTAACCGATTTCAAAAATGTCTTGTAGCTTCGTTCCACTTTTTTTTTTTTTTTTTTTTTGTGACAAATGTAGGATTGCCACCCCAGGCTTACTTTAGCTGGGGAAGGGGTTGGGTTTATGTTTTGTTTAGGCTCTATGAAATCCTAGCAACCAAATTAAAACACTACAACAGTCCACACACGAGGCCATGGTAAATGCTATGGAGTTAAAGATATTCTTGTTGGCTTCTTCAAAACATTGTCTCTTTCAGTTGTAAAAGGGGGATAGGTGGGTTAAGAGTCTGTGTTGTAAACATTTTTATGTTTGCCACAGAACTCAGGGGGATGCATTTGCTCTGTCCTAGTCGAAGTCTGTTGCAATTTTATGGTGCCTGTATTGATTAAAGTCTGTCCTTGTCTTTAAGATTCAACAGACACTTCTCTGGATTTATTAGGAAATGAGAACAATGGTAGAAACTCAAATTTAAAAAATACTGGAAACGTCATAAATAGAGCATATCTACTAGGAAAGCATATAACTCACACCAAGTGTCAGTGTTGTGTTTTATAGGAACCAGTCTTTGATATGAGTCATTAAGAGGATCAAACTAATGAGAATGATAACAAGATGGAATGATGTAATGGCCCTTGTATTTACTTTCATGCCACTGCTGGAAAATTGAGAGCAAATTTCATCAAAGCAGCAATGCATGAATAAAAAGACTGAATTTAGTTTGTGCCCTTTGTCTCAAACCATTACAGTCACATTGATTTAAGTAGTTAACACTGAAAACACGAAAAGTTCGGCTATGACGTCACCACTGTCATCAGCTTATCACACAGGGACTGCTGACAGTGGCAGTGATAGCTTGGATGTACAGAGAGTGGACAGGAGGCCCAGAGAGAGTGGGGCCAAGAGCTGTAGCAACTGTAGCTCCACTATACATGCAACCAGAGATCAGTCATGCTCTGCCCAGGGAAAATGTTGTCGTAACTGCAACAAGCTAAACCATTTGGCACGCTGCTGTCACTCCTCTCCTGTTGGCCGTGATACTGCTGCTGTCCCCATTAACACTGTACAGACCTCACAGCCTTCATTTAAGCTCTGCACATATCATGTGGGCTCAGCTTACATCCCGCTTCTAGTGAACACAGGGGTTAAAGTGTCAATCCTGAACAAATGCACATATGACCATATACACTGTTTATAATATATAAAAATAGTCTTTTTATTAACTGAAAAAAATAAGCTGCAAAGAAGTTGTGACTACAATATGATACCATGCATATTCATTTCCCCCTTAGGACTCTGAATCCCTGGAAAGTTTGCTCTACCTAAACACTGGGTATGCACATGTTCTCATATTATTTCTTTGTTACTTCCCAGAAATGTTGGGCTACAAACACCTACGAGCTGAGTGTACTATAATCATCGTTTTTTATATTGAGTGGCAGCAGCTTAACTTGGAGCCAAGACTTCCTTTGATGACAACATTTTAAAGTCACCAACTACATGTTCAATGAGTTAAAAATACTTGTAGGGAGTCCATTTTCATATATTCTATGATATTTACATATTTCAACTTCACTTTCAAGGTCTAAAATGTAAAAAAGGTATAAGGAGCCTCCCTAAAAGGGAAACTGTTTTTTTAACCTGAGCCCAATTTTCCCATGTGTTTATGTGTGCATGACTGATGGAGAGAACAATTTCTGAAATTGGTCCAGTATTGAGATAGAGTGGAGCAGCTGGTAGCCTCAAAACGAGCTAAAATGTAGTTTGACTGGGCAATTACACATTTACAGAAAACTGTGCCCACTACTTGTGCTTTATTTCACCACTAACAGGCTCAGGTTATTTTTTTAAGCCTTGAGAACAGAAATGCAAGTGTTTCCCTTTTCCTCCCACTGCCAGTTTGTGACTCTCCTGGTGTCACTCACTCTTGTGACCTCTTTCATCTCCCTGCAACGAGTGAGATCTTGTGAGACATCAGAACAGCAGAGACATCCACCAACGAGACGCTTCAGTTTCCCTTTATTTTTTTAAAAACAATGTTTTGCAGTACTCATGATCTCTGTTTGCCCATGCAATAAAACACATTTTCAATGTCCTGTCAGTCATCAGATGAATAATTCTTTGGCTTAGAATCAAAGATTTTTAATGGCAAAGTCCACAGAGGAGCAGGAAACATTTACTGTGCCAATTTCAATGTGAAGTAGAAGTTTAAACTTTCTCTAAGACCCTCCTATCATTTTTCTGGAGGTTAGTATTTTCTTTTTTCACATCAGACCTCCAGCAAAGGATTAGGCAGTCCTCCCTAGCACTGAATGACTTGGGAGGATTAGCACCTCTGCCTGTCACCAAATCACTCTGCTGGATTAACAATTTCTGCTGTTACACATGAGAATTCACTTCAACTACAAAGGAATTCAAGTTGATGTAACAGCTGTAGCACCAATGGAACGAAAGGAGGAAGTGGTTTTCTATCGACCCCTCCAATCAGTATAGCTTCACATCCAAGCAGGACAGCCTCAGTCTGATGGAGGTTAAGTAGAAGCTGTAAATCAACCGCATTAGCAAAAGCTGTCAAGCATGTCTATGTTCTGTTGAGGGTGTAAATCAGTAACAGATCATAGGTCACTTTTAACAGGGGCTTGACACAGTTCACATGCCCTGCGGGAGGCTCCTAAAAGGTTAATCACAGCAAGGCTATACACATCATACCACAATTCTAAAAGCTGAAAACCCTTAATTTTTCAGCAAATTCACAGAAGTAAAAACAATGTCAATTTCTCTGTGCTTTACAAAACAATTATCTCTCAGATTACAGCAGAGACGCAACATAGTTCAGATTATGTTCTATTAACTTTTAGACAAAGAATGTCTTTAAACTACGGTTGTTAAAAAAAATCCACTCAGGTAACTCTTCATATGAACCCTTGAAAAATGCATTATCAAGTGTTTGAGCATTCATAATAGTTAAGAGCAATGTTTATAAGCAGTGCTATAGAACCCATTCTATTTATCATTGAAATAAAGTTGTCATTTCTATAATTCTAGTTCAGAAAAATGTCTTATTCATACTCACAAAATGCTAAAGCAGGGGATTTTTTTAAATGAAAAGTGACAGTAGGGTATGACATTATCAAAAATAACATGTTCCTATAACAAATTTATAAGGATGTGTACGCAGTACCTGTACCTGTGCCTGTAAGTTAAGTTACAGATAAAAAATTGTGTGTGCACATGTTTGTGCGTGCACATGACTCAGTAGTAGAACCTTAAATCAAAAAGTTGATCCCAAGACTCACTGTCCTCATGCAGGAATTACGTTTGGTAAGACACTTGACGCTACCCGCCCTGCTGGCTGCACCCATTGGCCCAACTGATCGGCTTTATACATAGTAGCCTTTGCCATCAGTCTGTTAATGGGATGTAAATGGGTGAATGTGACTTGTAATATAAAAAGTGCTCTTAAGGGGTCAGATGACCAGAAAAGTGCCAATAAACATAGTTCCATTTTTCCATTGTGTGTGAGAGTGTGTATCTGTGGTTTATAGATGCTCTCACAAAATAATACCTGCTTTTAACACCAGCTGCATAACTGACTCTCTGCAAACATATCAGGAAATAATAATAACCTCTGGGTTTGGATGACACAATGTTCTCCATAGTTACTGAAAAGCCAAGCTAACTCATTTTTGCATGCATGAATAAATGTTCCAGAAAATAATGCATTCTGCCATTCACTTTAAAGCTTTTAGACAAAGTGTATACCATGCATAAATTAATTATCTATTTCCTGTACTCTTACATTTTAAAAATTTATTTGTGTTAAAATATATGTATTTTAATTTTGTGTTTCTTAAGTTTATGTTGTTTTAATGTGAATTATTTATTGATTTGTTTTGTTTTTTTACAAAATCTTTTTTGCATTTATTGAAATATTTTCATGTTTCATGCGTTTTTGTTTTTTTGTTGCCCTCCTGAAATATTTGTGCCAATTACCTCGAGCCACTGTAAAAAGTAGCAGGAAATACTAACAAAGTTTGGCTCCCCTTTGACAAATTAAAGCCAGGCTTCTTTTTAATTTCTCTTCAAAATCTTTCTCTGAGCAGCATAGCTATGCTTTCCTGTTAATATGTTTCTTACAAATTGTAACCTTCAAGAAAGTCGAGCATTTATCAGAAAATCAATACAGCTGAGGACAAAGGGGTTTCTTCAGGGGTTTCGTCTGTGTCTAACAGGATGGAGAACTACTGATGGCTCACATCCATTAGTACCTTATCTATTTTCTTTTATGGGACACATGAGGAGAGTATAAATAGTGACAGCTGCTCATACTTCATATTGCATTTATTTATTGCACTTCATATTTCTCATTACAGGTATAATTTCAAATCATATTACATAACATTTGTTGCCATGCTTGTTTTCAAACACACCAGTTCAGATATTTGTACAGGTGATCTTTGGCAGTGGACTATGGACTTTGTCAAAGACTTCACCTGGAGTTATTCTAGATTAGATTCTTCTCGTTAGTATTCTGGAAAAATGTTGTGGAGAAACTCTGATACTCTTATCCAATGCTTCGTTGAAATGGCAACTGGACTTGTTTAAGGTTCTTGAGGACATTTTGCCTCTCTTCCAGAGTGCCTATTTAGCTCAGTAAAGTTCAGAACTGAAGAAGCCTTTCGGAAGAGAGGCGAAATGTCCTCAAGAACCTCAAACAAGTCCAGTTGCCATTTCAACGAAGCATTGGATAAGAGTATCAGAGTTTCTCCACAACCTTGAACAAGTCCAGTTGCTCTTTCAAAGAAGTATTGGATAACCTTGACCTGGATGAATGATAACCTACACAAACATCTCTTTTTCTCATAATGATTTTTAAGCATATACAATGAGAGAAGTACTTGCATTGATCAACCATCACTAACACTTTATATTTCTGCTGTTCGGTAGTAAAGATCCAGTATGACAGAGGATTATTTGATGAGGAAGACAATTAAGCAGCCCTTTTGAAATTGTCAGTGATTCAAAATCTATAAATGTCCATATACATCAATTTTTAAGATGAGTTGCTTTGTAAAACATGATTGAACACAGTGATGGAAGTCCTATCCACAAGGAACTGTTAACTACACTTGGCCCATGTCATGTAAATTTCAGTGCACCAAGCTATTGCTCTCTTTTTAATGATTCATCAAAAATAATAAATGGCTAGAAACATTACAGCTACTTAATGGCTTGTAAAAGCAGTGTACTTGTTTTCCAAAGAACTACTGGCAACAATTGCCTGATTAGTTTCCTTCAAGCATTTGTTGTTTAAAAAGCTTTTTGTGGAAATATGTCCATTTATAAGTAATTAGCCACAAAGTGCAGCCTCAAGAAACTGCATTGCAATGCAGCCACAAGATACTTTTAGGGATGTATTGTTGAATACTGTAAGAATCATGCACAGGTCACTTAACACAATTAACTGTCACTGTCTGCTTAATTACTGTCAGGAATTTAATTTAAAAAAATTGATTTGTACTGAGGCACATAGAGCAGCAAGTACAGTAAATTATGTAAACACTGTACAACTGTAAACAACCAAGGAAAATAAACAATAGTACAAATAATATATCCCTGTATCTAATAGATTATGGGAGTCATATAAACTGATCTACAATTGAAGAGGAATAAAATACTACCAATAGCAATAAACATCTTTTGTGTTACAAAATCTCCTCCAAGAACTGACCTGATGCCTCATCCTGCAAGACAAAACCATATTACAGTTGTCATGTCTCTGAGTATACCTAGAGAATGACTGAGAAATCTACAAGATTATTCTGCATACTTGGTATTGTTGTGAGAGGTCACCCTAGATTTTGTCCTTGATAGTCTGAGTAAAGGAGGAGTCTTCATCATGACTGTGACTGTGAAGTGGTGCTGGAGTTTCCCCAAGATGGGCAGAATCTGGTCTAAAGTTGGACTCCTTTCAGTGAAGATGCAGATGGTTGAAGTGTAGAGTATCTTCATAACTCTGACAATCTGTTCTGCTTTTCTATATTCATCATCAGAAAGTCTCTCCAGTCTGCTAAAAAATATACACATTGTTTAAATAGCTAGATCACAGCCTAGCACATACTGTAAGTTCACACTGACAAAGTAATAAGCTACTCATCTTGTTTTTCTTTTGACATTTTCCTCTTTCTTGTCAGTGTGAGTGGATTTACACTGACTGGCCTTTTCCTTCTCACATCAGGGTCAGAGGCTGCTGTGAGAAGAAAAACAGAACAGCAAATGTAACTGAGCTGTTTAACTAGCCCACTCAATTGATGAGCATTGATGAGTTTTTACAAGCTAAACTTTGTCTGTTACTGTCAGTCATTAGTTAGCTTTTGATTTAGCTAGCTACACAGCCATGAAATAAAGCTACACACTACTATCTTAAGTTCGCGTTACATGGATCCCTGTTTAACTCACCATGCAATGCACGTATCAAGTTGCAGTAACATTAAGTTACCAAGCAAGAAAAAGCTAGCCAAATTTCGCTGAATGTAAACTGACCTGTTGTAATCCTAGAGAGGGCTCCACCCTTGGTATTGTCAGATGAAGCAGAGTCAGGCAGTGGACATTTTGATTCCGGCCACTCTGGCTCTGTAACATCCACAGGCAGACTTGAATGCTGAGAGGAAGTGAATGGCTGTGGTCCCCTCAAACACAGAGCAACATTCCGTTCTTAAATCAATACCGTGCACTGTTAGATGCTTCATTAAATCTGTATTGTTGCCAGCCTTAGCAATGATGTTTGATTTTTTTTGCATACTGTATATTGCACCATGCTTTATTGACATTGATTTTGCAAAAGTAAAGCCACGATTTTGACCTCAGTGGTTCGAGACACGCAATTACAGCAATGTTACTGTTTGGCACACGTGAATCCTGTCCGTGGGCGTAACCTGTATCTATTTTTCCTGCATGCCACAACCACATGTAATGTTATAGCCAATCACCGGTGCCATTATCAAATCCTGATCACGTGATTAATACCTGGGTACAGGAACTTGGCACCAAAAGACAAGACATATTTTGATACTTGGTACCACTGAAGCGTTTTGGTCTTTGCCATAGAAGAACTGAAGTTTGGTACCCAGCCCTAGTGAGGGCCCTTTTGTTTCGTTTGGATGAATTGGGAGTGGGACTGCCTGGAATAATAAACTCAATCTTGAGGAAGTTGAGCTGAGGGTGACATTTTCTCATGCATTTAGAAATATCAGCAAGGCAGGATGAGATCTGAGCTGAGACAGTTGTGTCATCAGATGAAAAAGACAGGAAAAGCTGTGTATCATCTGCATAACAGTGATAGGAAAAGCTGTGGGAGTGCATGATTACACCAAGTGAGATGGTGTTTATTGAGAAAAGGAAGGGACCAAGCAATGACCCCTGAAGCACCCTGTTGATAAGCCATGCATATTGGACTCCTCTCCCCTCCATGATACTCTAAATTGTGTAGCTGTGCATTTACACAAAAATAACCAACCTACATAGATGCCCTTGTTTTTTTAATGTCATTACCCTTTTTTTTTATTTAATTAGTTAAAAGAAAGGTCTCCACAACACTTTCAGTATTGCCAAGTGACATTTACATTTCCTCACCTAGCAAAGAGCAAAAACTGTATATTTGTCTCCATAGCCCAGAGTTTCCTCCTGTAGTAAGCTTTCTGTCTCTGTAAGAACATGATGCAGTGTGAAAAATAAGGGACAGCCTTCTTTTGCAGAGGATCTGTTTCTAACACTGCTCTGCTAATTAATCCCCAAAGCAGCTGACAAAAACAGTGAGAAGGACTGCTTGCACATTTTGCAAGATTAGGAAAAGGCAACACATTCAGGATGTTCTCTCCTCAAATTGTGACTGTTCCAACAGCATTGCACTGTTAGTTTATTGTGGCATTTGGTTTGCTTTGCAGAAACAGCTCTTTCAAAACATTTTGTGGTCTAAGTACATTAATGCAATAATCTTATTGCATTAAATCCAATGCACTTGGTTTGACAAACAAGCAAACTCATCAAATTACATAAAATCCACAAAGTTTGCATTAATGCAGAGCTCAGCAAGTTCATGTTGAGTTCAGATTCAACTTCCAAGTCCCTGAAAACATCAATGTAGGCACCCTCACACTATTTCCAGAGCCTTGTCAGTGACTCTGATGTCAGCCAAATGTTAAAGGATGTAAAATGTCCTTGGAATTATTTAACATTGTATATGTTTGTGATCTTTTTGGGGGGTGTTTCATTTCAACAAGAAATAAGAAATAACTGGATTTGCTTTTTTGAGTTCAGTTTGTTTGCTAATATATTTTACTGTAAAAGGTAGTGTTAAGGCGTACTGAGACAGGGAGAAACCCTGGTGTAACACTCCCCCCCATAAAGATGGCACAGGATGTGACATCATTTAAAAACACGTTACATCACATCAGCAGCAACATTTTTTTGCCTTTCTTGCAGTAAATCCCAATCTTATAGCTATGGGCTTGTCGGCTCAGTGCATTAGCCTCTGGTTGCTGTTGTACATGCAATTAAAAAACACAACAGCTTGTGATCAGTGAAAACAACAACAGGCTGCAAAGAGGATCCAACACACACCTCAATGTGCTGAAAAGCCCACTGCAACACAAGGGCTTCTTTTTCAATAGTACAGTAGTTCTGCTGGGCCTGTGAGAACTTTTGAGAAAAGTAGCTCACAGGATGGTCAGTGCCTACTGTATCTTCCTGAATCAGGAAAGCTCCAGCACCTGTAATAATGGCATCCACCTCAAGCTTGAACAGTATGGCAATATTAGGGGCAGCAAGAATTTGGGAGTTGCACAAGACAGCTTGAAAAGCCTGCTCACATCTGAAGTCCCACACCAAATCCTGAGTGGGACTGACTGGTTAAGTCAGTTCTGGCAAAATTCCAGCAAAATGCTCGGGGTTAGCAGGTTACTTACCTGCTAACTTCAGAAATCATCTGAACTGATGTTTAGTACTGGGGACAGGATACTGGGCAACAGCAATGATCTTGGATGTCATGGGCCAAACCTGACCCTGACCTACCTCCTTGCGATGGTAAGTAATGGTAGCTCTGTAAAACTCACATTTGCTAAGGTTAAGAGTCAAGGAAGCCTTTACAAAGCAGAATTAGCCTAAGAACATCCGTCTTTTGAGTGGCTGTAAATAGGACACACAAGTCTTGAAATTTTCCAAAATCTGGGAGTTCTGAAGTCGAGCAGCCAATGCAGGTGAGTTTTCTTTAGCTTAGTTACATCAACGGGACATGCAGCAACAACCGAAACGGCACCAATATAACCAGCTTCAGACAAGAGGCCTTGTCCCCCTTAGGGCTAGGGAGCATGTAGCTTCAACATGTTCAGCTGACAAACAGGAAACGTGCATTTCCTGTCATGAGTACAAATAACAAAATCAGTGTCACTCAACTTCTTCTCAACAACATAGGGCCCTAAAAACCTGGTCTGTAAGGCTGACCCAGGTAATGTTGGTAGCTAAAGGACTTTGAGTCTTTGGGCTCTATTTTCGTGTACGCCGGTGAGGCAGCAGAGGATGGCGGATCCTGCGCAGTTGTATTTTCGTCTGGCGGAGCCCGGCGTACAGACAGTTTGGTATTTTCGTGGACTGAGGCGCACCAAGATCCACCAAACTGAGCGTGGTGGCGTGGCAGGGGGAGGTGTTGACAGAATCAGTGGGCGAAGTGACATTTTCGTGCTCGCCACTGGCGTATAAAGTGCGCTGAAAGCTCGCCGATTCAAACCTGGTCAGCTTTCAGCACAGGCAGAGTGCAGCTGGTCTCGTGGTATTTTGGTAGACCAGCGCCGTATCGTCATACGTCACTGATGCCTCACCAGCAGGTTTCCACAGTGTCAGGAACATTTCAGTGCTATAAATAATCAACAATAACTAATAATCTGAGTCAGCACATATATTTAGATCTATATAGATATATTCTGATCTATATCTGATCTGATGAGCGCATCTGGCACGCGTTTGGACACACAACCTGACCGAATCAACACAGCTGAATCTGCATCAAATTAAATTAAATATCTAGTAAATAAACACACATGATGAAGTTAACAAGATATGTAATTCGTCTCCCTCCTTTTCGTTCTTCCTCTTCCTCTTATTTCACGCGCAGCTCGACCTGGACATGTCTCTGTGTCCTCTCCCCGTCCTGCTGCTGCGGCGGCTGAACAGATGATTTGTTTCAGTGATCAGATGAGTTATTTACTTTAAGCCTACATACGAATATTATAATATTCAGTTTTGTGAGCCAAATTTATTTTATATGCCAACATCTATGAAAAAAAGAGCCAGGCCACGGAGCATGATGCGTCATTACGCACAGATGGTTCCGATTTTAATGCCATTATTGTAATTTATGATGTGATCTCTGCGCACAACCCACCTTTGTCACGTGAGGTTTGAATATGTGCAACTTTCTGTGAGTGTCTTTATTTGTGGAAAAGGGTGTTTGTCTTACCAGTAGGTACAACATTACACACACCAAATCCATCTGTACTCATATGAGAGAGTGTGGAGGACACCCTCTGCAACAACACTTGTTGAGAAGCTGCCTTCTGTCGCCATCGTGTGGCATTACTGTCTTCAGACATCTCTTGATCTCTTTGACTACTTCACGAAAATAGTAATACGCCTCGTTGGTGGCGGATTTAAAGGCGAGGAGAGGAGCTGATGTTATTGATCAATACAGGTCTCGGCTGTGTTAAAGCCACTCCACGCCCTCTCTCCTCCCTCGCTACAACTTACGCCGCTGGGAGGAACTGAGTTAGGGAGGGGGGATACTTACGCCGCGCCTGCGGCACGTCTCCAGCGAGGCACGAAAATAGAGCCCTTTGTCTCAGGATGGAACTTGACATCTATATGACATCTTGTGGGCCAAAACATGCTTATCAGCCATATCACATCATCCTCCACAGTTTTTGTGTCACAAGGCTTCTTTTGTTTTTACCTTTTGTGAAGTACACCAACAATCAAATAAAATCTATTTGTCTCAAGTAAATTCCACGAAGGTTTGCTTTTCACTTTGGCATAGTAGTGGAAACGTTGTCGATAGGCCACTGGCACTAGCTCATACGCATGTAGAATGGCAGCTTTCATAATTCACGTTTCATTAATTACAACTCTTCTCTAAAGTCAGTAAAGCATACATGTCTCAGGCTTTACCAGACAGAACACACTGCAACAATAATGTCCAGTTGTGCTTTGGCTACTCCAGCGTAGTCGCCACCCTCCACTAATTTTTTGGGCGCAGTTATTCTTTATTTCCTTGCTAAGGAGACATTGAAGTGTACTTCAAGGTGTGGCAGTTTGCTGGTACTAACAAACATGAAAAATGGAGCCCCCAAATATCCCAAATCTTGATGTCGGGTTTTGGGTACAATCAAAACATGACTTGATTATTGTCTAGCAAAGTGCATTGTTTGAACTGTCAAATTAAGTAAAAATAATTGTTAGTTAATGATTGTCTTTGGCTATGTTGTATAATTCCCTCAATTGCGAAGCTGCTGTGCATACAACCATCAGCTCAAATGCTCAGTGTAGCAGCAGCACACAATGCAGCTCCACCACTGTCAGCCTAAAAGCCACTAAAGCTGTGGCTTTGGCCCTCAACCAGACTTATAGCCCCACGGCAAGCAGTGTGCTCTCAGACTAAAGATCAGTCCACACAACAGGACAGCTGGGAGGCCAGGGGCTTAACAGCTGGAAATATGCTGTTAATAATAGGTCTGGTGCTACACTCTTTGGGAAATGGTGTTTGTATTCTTTGAAGTTCTTTATGATGATGACTTGGCCAAGTGCATTAAAAAACAGCTCATTGGTCAGCTATTCTGACTGGGTGGTTACAATGGTATAGTGGGTGTTCCCTGGGAGCAAAGCTTTGTTCCCTGCCTGGACAAACAACCTGTTTGTATCTGCGCTCACTGTTTTTATTTGTGTTATTACTGAGCACTCCAGCAAAGCCATCCTGCATCCTGTCACAGAGGTGAATAAACCTAGATTGACCACCCAGGATTAAAACAATATTTATTTCAAACTGTGCAACAGCAAGCAGCCTGCCCCCTTTATCATATGTGACTAGTAATCAGTGTTTGTTTTTATTACCACCCATATGATGTCAGGAAATCAGTGTGATTTGTTTTTGTCTATCACCTGGTGTCATTTCTGACACCTTAGCTGTGCCATGAGGCCTAACACGTAAAATTTCCATCTAAATTGGAGTGTTATATTGCCTCAGTCATGGCATTTTGATATTGCATGATAAAAAAATACTATATACATTGCCTCCTCTTCACTTTGCAAGGCAATAAATAGTTTTGGAGTACCTTTGATATTTAATGTAATCTATGCATCACTGCCCCAAATGCATCATAACTCAACAGATCACGACATAATACAGAGAAACGTTAGGACAAAACAAGCACCAACTGTTGCATGCTCTTATTTCTAAAGTTGCTCTTAAAACAGATAGGATTCAGATTCAAAGACAGAATAGGTTTCGTCTAGTCTGCCAGAACCTATTGAATCTCACCTTATCATTTGGATCACACTTACTCATCTAAAAACCCTCACTCCAATTTTTGTCTCAGGATTATTTTACTCTTGCTCTTTCTGCACCGACACACCTGCACCTAATCATGCAAAAGTTTTGAGCTTTTCTAGTGTTGTGTGTTTGCTGGAGTTAATTCCGCTCTCCTCCTTTTTCCTCCATTGCCTCCACAAGCCACCAGCTCTTTGCCCAACCTCTGCCATACTGCCACACTCTTGCACCCAAGTCACTCACCTGCCTTCACCTCGAGCTCTCATGCCTCTGTGTCCTCCTCACTTCTGAATTCCCCCCACACTTTCGACCCTGGATTCTCCCACACCATCCCACCTCCTCTTACATAAAATCACTGAACACTTACTCTGCCTGCGATCCTGCTTTTGGGTTCAACTAAAGCATCTTATTCCAAAATCATAACAGTTTCCCTTTTTATTTCCCTGATCTTATGTTTTTGTTTCATCAACCTCTGTGGATCAGCCTCCTACTTTTAACCTTGTTCCTGTAAAAAGAGAAAAAAAAAAACATGCTATTTACAATTATAAAGGTCAGAGAATTTCTTCATAGGAAAATGTCATGATTTTGTTGTTGCTCTTGTCTGTCTCTTGCCATCCCTTTCTATCTGCATTTGCAGCCCAACGTGGTCTGAGTCTGGTTCAGCTTGAGGTTTCTGCCTGTAGAAATTAACTCTTTTCTTGCCACTGAAAAATGATACAAGAAAATTGATGCTGTATAAATAAAGACAGAGTGATTGAATTGTTGATTGATGTTTTATTGAGTCACAAGGTTTATGGCTTATCCAGGTAAAGCAGGATATTGTTTCTGATGTTGCTATTGGCAGAGATAGTGCCAGATATAATGTTATGGCATTGTCTCTCCTGGCTTGATTGAAAAACTATTGCATTGAAACAAAGGCTATTATCACTGTTGAAGTGGTCTAACAATGAGAAACACATTGCATGCTGAAAGTCCTTGTTATCCTCCATTGGCTGAGAGAATTGACATTATAATAAATACAAAAATCTGACACAGAGCTGATATCATTTTCAGATACACATACCACTGTGTTAATTAATGTATGGTTAAATAGAGATTCTGGCTCCCCTTACACATTGAGCTCTTAAATAATGTAACATTTCCTTTGGGTGTTGATGACAGAGGACTGTAGGTGCACACTGACTGAACTGAGTATGCTTTTGTGCTCCAAGACGTCTTCCCTCTGATTAGTACCTTCCACAGGAGTGCGTCCTCCAGAGACCTGCCTGTTGCTTCATTTCCTCATTTCTCAATGGAAAGGATGTGTGCTATTATGCGCTCTTGACATTACTGAGAGTTGAGATGCTTTATATATAGCAGCACGAATGACAGGTACTTTAGAATATTTTGACTTACAGTACCCCAAAGATGTTTGGTAGCAGTTGTCTGCTGTTTTTGCTATGGTGCAAGCAATAATAAAGAGCTCCACAACCACTTACATTACAGCAACAAATAACCTCATAAGTTATTAATGCAATAACTGCGGTGGTGCTCTTAAAGGCGCCATGTTCAGCATTTATTGTGAATACTTGAGTTAAAAAAAAGATGTATAGGAAAGCACTAAGACAGGAATACTACGTCTAAATCTAGGGTATTTGATACTCAGACACTTCTTTTTTAATGCTACATATACTGTGGGCCATCTATAAAAAGACCTGATGTTGGCTCTTCCTTGCTCAGTATAACTGCATACCATCTGTTCAACAGTTATATCCAACTCTGATCTGGATCGATTTTTAGAAGTGTTCAGCAAGTGTGTGTGAGCAGTTGCAGCTTATATAAAATGCAAGATTTGATTTGAATGGTCGATGATACTATTGGCTCTTACTGTTGTTTACAGTCATGAATATTATGCAGTGTGATTGATCGCATAATTACTTACAAACAGATCAATACAATGCTGGTTGTTTTGTGGGGTAATTAAATCTGAATCGGTTTTAATTAATTCTGAGTCGGTTTTAATTAAATCTGAATCGGTTTTGATTCTATTTATATTTTGTTGGGAATAACTGTGGTCTTATCTAGCGTTTATCTGTGACCAGGACACTGTTTATGTTGAAAATGTATTAAAATGTTATTCAGACACTGTCAAAAATGATGTTTGTCCTTTCTTTTTCATAAGGAAATTTTCACAACTCTCATTCCCAACACAGTCTTCCATCACAGTCACAAAAAAGGTGATCTTGATTATCTGCAGTAAATAGTATTTTTCAGCAGCTTTGAGCCAGTTTTGACTTCAGCGCAAGAGAGCTTTAGTGGGAGGAGGTGCAAAACATACCTGAGCAAAAAATAGGCTATCTGTGTGCTGAAGCATAATTCTGCTCTAGTGAATTTCCCACGCACTGGAGTTACATTTTAATCATGCACTGGAGACAAGGAAACCTTGAATTTGTTAAAACTGACGCCTACTGACACCTGCATCTGCAATGCTAATCACAATCGCAAAGGGCTCAACAGACTAGTCTCGTCTTTCCTGTCAAATAAATTGTCTCCAATGTCAAGTAAGCACTCCATAACTTGCTGTATGGCTAATGTGCTGCATGGCTACATCTAAAAAGAGCCTTCACCACCCTATTCCTTTGTTTCGTCTGTATTCAGAACAAAGGCTAAGACATCACAAGAGTAAACAATCTTGCTGCTTTACAGACTGTGGTGTCATTTTTCTGCCATTATAATGCAAACAGTTGTGTCTTTCTAATTTGTTTGTTTGCTCACTTGTTTGGTTGTACACTGTGTGTGATCAAAGTTATTCTATTTTATGGCAAGGATCTGTGAAACAATTTCCTGCAACATTATAAATCCAGATGAGTGAAGCTTGAACCAAAGATAGCCACAGTGACATTACTTTCAACTGTGAAGATAAAGTCTTCAGTTGGCATTTTACTTACCCTGTTTTTGTTTTTTTATATTGCCAGAATTTACCACACAGTATAAGGAAAGGGCGGGGATGGAGAAGAAGAGTGAGAGGTTGATAAATAGCAAGCAGTCACAGCTAAGTAGTTTATACTTGGAATGCACCATTATGTTGGCTGAGAAACAACACCAGTCAACCTCAACCCTGCCCACGACAAAGACCTATCCATATATATAATGTGGCATTTATAACTTGCAGAAGCTGACATACAGTATATGAACCCTTGAGCAACGCTGGGCCCATGTCCATCAATCAGTTGATCATTATTTTTTTAAACAATATTTTGGAAATGTAGACATTAATTTAAGGAATGACGATTAAAAGCTTTAAAAGATAACTTCTTCTAAAGATAACTTCAATTATTTTCATATTATCACCATTTTCATGTTACCAAACTACACTTAGCAGCAGACATCTCCACTGAGGAGGGGTGCCAGTGATGTGACATTTGTAAAGACTTGGCCCTAGAAGCCAGCTATCATATGTGAGTAATGTTTGTCTCCTTAACGAAGTGAAATGATCTGGATCACTAAAAAAAGCAAAAGTTCCCTTTACTGGGATCATCTCCACTGAGGTAGTTTACCTGGGAAAGAAGTAGGACCCAAACTCTGAACTTTGTTTGATGCGGGGTTAGTGTGTAACACTTTATTACACTGATGGCAGAGGGTGGGCTGTGAAGTGTCTCTCAGCATTAATCATACACCGATGGCTACTGGCAATTCTAGGTACAGTGTCTTTCCCAAGGACACTTCAGCATATGGACTGCAGTATCTGCGATAGAACCCCCATCTTTGCTTAAAAAGACACCCATCTCTACCACTAAGCCACAGCTCCCACTTTTTTCCACTTATTCAGATGATGCAGCCATGTACAGTTTTGCTAATAAATAAAGAAAGAAAGAAATGAATTTAAAAAATCATCCAGATAATCTTTAGAGCTAAGCTCTAATATGCTGAAGGAGACTGTAAGACAATGCCATCAAACTGAATCATTGTGTCCAATCACTTTGTAAATGCGATCTATCCTTGTGGGATGATTCAATAATCCATTGCAACCAAAGTCAAATGCTTGTGTTTGATCAGTACATCTTGAGCATTACTGAATTTCGATATCAATTATGATTATTGAACGATCAAAATATGACAATCAAGAATTAAAGATTAAAATAGCAGAACTCACTTTTGCTGTACCAAAAACTGCTCATATCTATGTGGATCAAAGTTTGAGGGGAGGAGTCCTAAAGTTTTTTAAAACAGAGTAAAACTCCTGTGCCACCATTAAAATCTGGTACTGAAATAAATATGTATTTTTATCAAAATTTTGTCTGAGCTCTTATAGTATAGTAAAGAACAGGTCCGTTCAGAGTTACTACATCAGTGCTACACACACCTACTCTCTAAAAACACTTGGGTTATTTCTTCTACCCAATTCCTTGGCTATAGGCCTGCATGTTGGGTAATATTTCTGGGTTATTTTTCAGAGACAAACCCATTTCTTGGGATATAGAATTCTTTAAAACACAATTTGTGGGTTTTTCGACTGGGTTAATATTTTTTGGGTTATTTTTTCTGAGAGTAATCCATTAACTGGGTCAGAGAGTTGGGTTAGATTGATTGATTAAATACTTTACCGACAGTTTTCACAAAAAGCACAGGAGTAGAGTTTTATACAAAAGGACGCTGGTCTAAAATGATAAACCAAAGCACTATGGCTTGTTTTCATAGGGGTCCTGTGTATTTAGTTGATCTACATCAACTATATAAATATATTTTACAACATGAGCTAATAGCACACGTTATCTAATGTACATTACAATAATAACACAGGTTTAAGGATACCTAAATTGATTTGTTTTAATGTTTATTTAACAGGGACAATACATACAACATTGCCACAAGAAATGGAAAATGTGATGCATAAAAGGTGTCTAGCTTCAGCTAATTTGTAGTCTTTGTCCCTGTTTAAGCTTTAGTGTAGGATAAAATATACTGAATACTATAAATACAAGAATACAACTACAGTGCATCATACAGTGAATGGCTAGGTGACAGAAAGAAATAAACACAGCAACAAAATTTAGGTTAAACAATTACACATGTTAAATTTAACACTTAACATTAATAACGTTTCATAAAAAAGTTTAATAAAAGTTTAAAATTAATGTCTCCATATTAGAGCTACAGTTTCTGACGTTATTGTGTTGACTAAATGTCAGACTGGAAAAGTTTGTTAAAGTTTTTATATGAAACAGGCCTGAGTGGGAGAATATAAAGTACTAAACTAGACTGGCCTCCCTGCAGTCCAGACCTGTCTCCCGTTGAAAATGTGTGGAGCATTATGAAGCACAAAACACCACAACAGAGATCCCAGACTGTTGAACAACTGAAGTCTTACATCAAGTTAGAATGAGGAAAAAAGTCCAAAGCTTCAACAATTAGTGTCCTTGGTTTCCAAATCACTTAAGTGTTGTTCAAATGAAAGCTGATCTAACACAGTGGTGAACATGACCCTGTCCCAGCTTTTTTGTGATGTGTTGCAGGCATCAAATTCAGAGTGAATTAATATTTGAAAAACAAAAAAAAAACAAAAAAAAAAACATTGAGGTTATAAATTTAAACATTAAATATTTTGTCTCTGTAGTGTATTCAACTAAATATAGGTAGAAGGGGATTTGCATATCATTGTAGTCTGTTCTTATTCACATTCCTCACAACACCCCAACTTTAGTGGAATTGGGGTTTGTATTTTTCAGCCCATCATACCTCCATTGTGCTACCTTATTTTTATCTTACATCTAGTCAGGAAGATTTATCTCATCAATACAAGAAAAATATTTTAACTTTTAAAAATAGCAGTATATGTGAATTGCAAAAGAATATATATTTCTTTAAAAATATTGATCACACTTGTTGCTGCAGCAGTGGTTTTTTTTTTTTCTATTCGGATAAAATAGTAAATATTTGCACAGCCTATTTTAAAGGTTCTGTGTAGACTCAACCTGTTGGATTTCTTGATACAGATATTATTCAAATGTTTTTCATGGTTTGATTATATAGGAATAGTTTGTTTAGAAAGCCGTGTAATTCTGTTGAATTTATTTTAATAGCTCGAACATGAACATCCCACACCAACAGGTGTAAGTAGACTTAAAAAATCCAGAGGAATTAGCTTTAATAGAGCCCATTCATACAGATCATTAGCACTAATTGGGTGGGAAAGGCTGAGAAGGGGTCAATTGAGTTTGCTCCTTAAAAAGTTGATAAATGCAGGGGCTTAAATTTGACCAAGAATGTCAAGACTGTGGTCTTCTATACTATGTCTACAGACACTGTAAAGAAGTGCTGAGAGGCATTAAAGAGTAGACAGCTCATGTAAATGTTCAAATATGACATACCTTTCATTCAAATGAAAGCATCCCATATAACATGAACAAAGGCATGACAAGCCCAGCCTGTTACTTCCGACTGAGGAAACAAGGTGGCGTGAGAAGAGAGAAGGAAGCTTGGATAGGAGAAACACAGCACAGAGAGAAGGAAAACAAACAATGGTGGTGGATGTTGGGGTGGGGGGTGTGGGGGGCAATCCCACCTTTCCCTCTTCTCTCCATTATCTCCTTTCCCCATCCCCCTCTCACCCTTAATGAGGGATAGTTTTCTCTCCACCTCTCATCTCTCTCCCTTTCTCCACTCCCCACCATCTCCAGAGACCAAACACACCCCTGACAGGTTTCCATGGAAACGCCTCACACACTCTTCATCGCAGACACACGCTCTCTCTATCTTGCCGCGGTAACGCCTGTATCCTCTCTCTCCTCCATTAGCATCCCTCTTGCTTGAAGACAGCAGAGGCAGGGGTTGTCCAAAATCCTTATATCTCTGAGCCCAAATTGCTCTTTTTTTGAACAGGAAAACTTAGAACAATCAACCTTATGGCCACAAGATAAAGAAACTGAATGAACTGGGTGAGCTTGATGAATCATTTGACATATTTCACCTTTTTTTTCCCTGCTAGCTCATTTATATTTCTAGATACACCTGTGAAATGCCTTGCTGGTTATTTGCTCTGCCCTCAGTTCTATGGATAGAACAATCAGATAAAATCTGCACTCATCTACTGTTTCTATTCCATACCCAATTAATGCTGATGGAAGTCAGACAAGAGACAGTAGCTGAGTCTTTCAGCTGGAGCATAACTCATTTATAATTCAGTCCTATTTCTCATACTTAAGCTCAGCATAGAAGTGTGTAAAGTGAGGCTTTTTTGCAACCACTCATCCGCATGAAAGGAAATATCTACTCTATATCTCACCCCCACATGCTTTTAGAGATCCTGTTGGGGGGGAAGGGAAGGGGGGTGTACAAAAAAGACTATGTACCTCTGCTGCAGGCCACTTTGACTCACAGCAAAGCACCAACCGCCAACTTCATACAGTGCGTGTGTCATCCCCGCTGAGCATCTCAGGGAGGGTTTTTATCTACCCTGTGAAGTGTGTTGGAGGCATCATGTCATCTGGTGCAGGCTACAGATGTAATCTCTCTAGTGCAGGTTATTCAGTAGAAAGATATAACCATACTAAGAATTGAAGGCATCGCAGAACTGTTCAAACACAGTAAATATGACACTTATGTGTGGTTTTGACATCTGTTAATTGATTCCTTTGTGTTAGGTGGCGGAAGTGAAAGTGTCGTCATCCACCCAAACTCATACAGTGGATGCACCACATTTTCTTTTCTCTCTACACTCCATCATATCCTAAACTGAGGAAGAGCCTATATCTCCATTCATTAGAATGCCATGAACGTCATGGGAACTCCTCTGTTGTTTCCTAGTGAATTATCTGCATTCCTCCCAAACCCTCACACCTCTTGCCCATATAGACTAAAGACTACGCCTATCCTCTGCTGATGAAACCAGGTGTCAATCTCATTTTCCTGCCAGTTAACACTCAGTTAGTCGTGAGTCATGCAATGAGAGATTTTCACTCATCTGGGCAACAGATTAAAGCAACCAGAGCTTGATTCTGGTGTGTTCAAGCAGCTCAATAGCAACTGTGTCACGAGTCTTACCTTTTACCTGCTCTTCTCACATGCCAAAATCCACCTTCCCGTTTCTACATCACTGAGTGAGGAGTCCGACACACACTATATCTGACATACACTCACACTTGCACCGATTCTGAACGCTAATCTCTATTACGGAGTTGTTCTTCTTGAACTGTGGCTCAAAAATCCCTTTTCTCCGTCATGACTTTTGCAGCCTGCTTTGAAGTGAGCGGGTAGCTCTCTCTGTCTGGCAGAAGATCCAGGTTTCACGAGGCATCGGTACTGCGCGGGGTGACGGCAGTTTGAGAGAGGATGAGAGGAGAGGAGAGAGATTCGTCAAGGCAACAGATACAGCCATCGCGAGACTGAGATTGTTCCTCCTTCAGAGTAAAAGTCTGCAAAGTAGGTCTAGTCAGTTTAATTTATTGCGATGGTCTATCTCATGAAGAGCTGTGAAAAAAATGGGCTGAACCCACCAGAAATCAAACTTCCTCTTGAGGCTTCTTTTCAACCTTTCACCTACCCTCTTCACCCTCACCCAGGTCTTTATGTGGTCTTTATGAGGACATTTGATTTAAGAAACAGGTAGTCTGTTTGACCAGTGCTACAAATAAACATTCCAATAAACGTTGTACTTCAAAATATATATAGTTTTAGATATCTTACCACAAACTATACACAAAGTTGAAAAATTCTCTATATAGGTTTTATTTATTTATTTATTTATTTATTTTATGATCTCTTGATTAGGGGTGGCACAGTGGTGTAGTGGTTAGCACCATAGAAATTATATACGTAGACGCCTCATCACGTGCTGGAGCGTAATCCAGCGTTGTCGCTATATTGGATGGGTCTCTCCACTCAGGGCTCGCTCAAGAGCCAAACGGGGTCCATGGAGAACGAGCAACTATGCCCGTATTTTTGCACTTTATGGTTGAAAAACCTGACGCAGTATTGAAATCTGACAACGTAGGACTACATATTACAAATAGGATTGAAAAATAATTTGGCGTATTTTTAATGTGTGACATTGTCCTGCTTTATGGCTACATTCCTGCTGTTGTAACAAACCAAACAGTGTGAAAATCGGGCAAAGATTCAGAGAGTTATTATTTATATGGTTGGGCATTCCCACCTATCTTAATGCACTGGAGGCGCATGGGAAACCCATCCAAGATGGCGGCCACGCTGATACATGAGGTCCAGGAGCAGCATCAGGCTTTGAGGCGTCTACGTATATTATGTCTATGGTTAGCACTGTCACCTCACATCAAGAAGGAATCAAGAATATATGTTAACCCCCCCCCCCCAACACAGGAAGAAGTGGTAGAAATTGGCTGGGTGGATGTTGATGAGTAAATTAAAATTTTAGTGAGGCAACTCAAAGTATCATCTGAATACCTGCACCTGAGTTTTACAGGTAGGATACCACTTAGAAAACACTGACAATGGTTATTGTAAAACAAATCACTCTTGAGGAGCAGTGGGACATCCCACTGAGCATTTTTTGGTCTAAAAGAGGTCTAATAGACGACACACAGTGCCTGGTGCTGCTCCATGTCACTTTTGTTTAGAAAGAAGCGACAGAAAGCCAGCATGAGGAGCAAAAATCAGGTGGAAAAAAGTGATCAGGCAGCCTCTATTTTGCCCTTAGACTCTGCAGTAGAATCCACATTGATATAACAGATCTAGGCAGTGTAGTGCATTTTTTTTTAATAAAACATGCTTTCTCCCCAATTTTCTTTGACAACAATATGTTTGTTTGGAATTGTTTGTGAAAATCCAGTTGAGTCCAATTGAATGTGTCTGCAAAACCAGCTCATTTTGTCTTTTGTTTTTACAAAAAATATTCTGGGTTTTAAACTTATGTCACGCGGTATTATTGATATTAAGGAAAGTCTCATGTTAGAAAATATGATGTGGTTCGGTGAAAATAGTGGCTGAGCGGGAGAGATTGACTACTTGCAAGAGACTCAACATTTCATAATCTCTCCAGGGGCTAAGTCTCTCTGCAGGTCTGATCTTAAAATTGCTTGTGCTTTAAAAAAATCATTGACTCTTGTGAGCTTGAATAGGTCAGAATCCAGGGTTGTTTGTTCAGCCCCAGTCTGTTCCTGTTCTGGAACACCAGGTATTTGTAAATCAGACTTGAACTATTTTCCTTTTCTTTTTTTTTTTAATATCTTTTTTACAACATGGTGTTGATCTCTGTAGTATCAAGACAACCCTGTGCTTGAAAGTCACACATTATTTACAGGAAAGGTTCCTTATCTGGTTCTTCATGGAAACAGGATCACAGAAATCTTTCTCAACTTATTGGGACTGTTTTTCTGACCCAAAAGCGAAGATCTCACACTGGCAGAATAAATCCTTAATTCTTTAGTTCCTTCAAATTAACAGCTTTCCTAACTGTTTCATGAATTTTTAAGAGTTGTTGTTATTGAATATGAATCATAACTTTGCTCTGGTTAATAACTTCATTAATTTCAAATTAGTGGGGACCACAAAAGCCAATGGTGGAGGGGGGAAAGATGACCTAACTTTCTGTTTAGTATTTCCATCCAAGCAAGTAAAACTTTGTGAAAACTGCTTTCAGAATTATTTCCGATAAATCAAGATGCATGAGACTAGTTTAATGCAACACATGCCAAATGGGAAACATCAAATCATAAAATGAGTGTGTCCCTTCTGGCTGAATTACTGAGCAATGGTCTGGATCAAAATTTGTTTAATGGATGTCTAATGAAAGCTAATACAAATACACTGATTAGCCCCATGCTGTATTCTCAAAAATAGACAATTCCCAAATAGTAGACATGGGATTTTAAATTGTAGCATTAAACCAAATATATAACGAATCACATGTATTATGACTGTCTATTTTTTGTATGGCAGTGGAATGAGTCAAAGTGAGGCTCATTTTCATCCCTAGAGTTTCATGCCTCAGACCAGCCCACTTTAGATCACAAGCTGTTGTTATTAATATCATGTAATTATAATATTATGTTAAGTCTACAACAGCTCACCTGTTTCTTCCATACTGACAGGAGAAATTCTCTCATCACCACTGGCTCTGCATCTGACACAAAATCGTATTAAAAAACGGTCGTAATTCTCAGTACAAATCTCTGCTTTTTACCAAGTCTTCTCATCAACTCAGGTCAGCTTCATTAAAGTAGTGCTGAATCATCTAGCATCTTGCAGCACTAGGTAATGTTTTCCACTTTGTTTGCACTAGCCATTGAGCCATTATCAGTCATTTAAGTCTGTTGGAGGGTTCAAAGGGATTAAAGGGGGTGTTAAACATCGAGCTTTGCGTTATGCTGATGATCTCCTCCTTTATGTGTGTGACCCCCTTACGTGTATTCCACCTATCCATTCACTGTTGAATACTTTTGGCGTTATTCCTGGATATAAACTTAATATTTCAAAAAGTGAATACAGTCTGATTATTAAAATGTCAGTTGTCTATTGTATTTAAAATATCTAATGCAGGAATAAATTACATAGGTGTCACAATCACACATACCATTCGTACACTTCGTGAACAGAGGTTCACTTCTTTAACTGCTACAGTCAAATCAGATCTACAGTAGTTGAATTGTTTGCCACTATCTTTGGCAGGAAGGAAATACAGACTAAAAAAAAGAAAGTGCTACCCATATTTTGTATGTATTTTATATTGTATTTTTTTAAATTTTTTGTCTTGTATTGTAAAGTCCTTTTTTTTTAAACTATCAACAACATCGTTTCTTCCTTTATTTGGGCTTGTAAGCGTGCGAGAACAGGTAAAACTTTACTCCAGAGGAGCAGGTTAGTGGGTGGGCTTGGGCTACCTAATTTTATCAGCTACAACTGGGCAGTCAATGTTCACAAAATTTAACTGTGGTTCATTTTCTCCCAGTTGCAGCTAAAGCAGATTAGAGGCTGACTCCTGCTCTTCTTCACCCCCATCTTTAGTGTGTGGCACCCTTCTCCTCTATCCCTCTCCCTTCATGTCTAATACTGTGGTAATGAGCACACTCAAACTATGGTCACAAACTAGACAACACTTAAGGCGGCTTTCTTCCCTAACACAACATCCATCTGTAATAAACACCTTTTTATACCGGCTAGTAATGACCCATGACTTACATCCTTGGAGAGGAGTAGCCTTTGCTGTCTGGGTGACTTATACATCAATGATGTTTTTGCCAGTTTTGACCGATTACATTGTGCATTGAATTCCAATAGCTCAGACTTTACACACACACACACACACACACACACACACACACACACACACACACACACACATATATATATATATACATTTCAGCTCTGTGATTTTGCCAGGACCCACTCGCCAGCAATCCCTCAAGTTCCAAATCCCAGCGCCATTAATTCAGCACTCAAGACAGGAGTGTTGCCCAGAGGTCAGGTTTTCTTCCTTTATGATCACCTGTTCAAAACAAACGAGTCTGCAGTAAGTAAGATAAAGGCTGACTGAGAAACCAAACTACAAACTAGGATTTCTGGAAAAAGGCTCCAGGGTCTGTTTATTCCTCCTTCAGCTGTGCTAGGCTGTCTCTCATTGAGTTTAAAGTGCTCCACAGACTTCATTACAGCAACCATAAACTCTCCAGAATATATCCAGATACAGTTGATGAAACCTGTGGTAGATGCTTCCGGGCTCGCATCCGGGCTTGCATCCTGAGTCACATGTTTTAGTCCTGTTCTAAATTAGCTCATTATTGGCAATCCTTCTTTAAGTCCATCTCTGACATTGTCAGTTTGTACATCAGTCTATCCCCTCATATAGCTATTATCGCTAGGTCCCCTGACAATCTTGCCACCTTGACCACAGAGGAAAATGTTATTGCCTTTGCCTCTTTAATTGCCTGCAGGAGGATCCTTCTCTCATGGAAATCTTCACAACCCCCTCCTTCAAAGCATGGTTGATGTCTTATTTCTCCTTCTGTTCGAGAAAATAAAATTCACCCTTGGAGGGTGTTTTGATAGATTTTACTTTCACTGGAGACCTCTGCTTCAATATTTCGAGAAACTTTCACCTGATGTGGTATTATAGTAGTCCACCATCACCTGCCAATACCGATCTTTTCCTCTTGTGCCTGCCCAGCCACCAAGTCAGGGCAAACCTGCGTGTTTAAATAAGAAATTATATGTTCTGACTATACTCCTTTATAAGTGCAGGTTCTTCATCTACATCTGCAGTGGTGTCCTGGATGTGGACAGTGTGGGAGTGAATAATACACATGCTTTGAGCAAAGTTGTTGTTCATTGTGGGGGCTCCAAATGTTTGAGCCCACATGGCTTTGATGTCTCCCAGAGCCAACAGTTTTCCCACTGTCCCTTCCTCAAATGCCCTTATCCACTTGCTAGCACCCTCATGATCATCT